AGTGGCTGGGAAACATTGGCTATTAGTCCCCTTCCTGGTTGGGTGACTCTGCTGAGGGTGTGACTACAGCAATGGGATAAATATCTCTAAGGGATGTTTTTGCTGGATAGAAGTCACTTCATGTACACAAGCTTCTTGGAGGATCTGTGTGCTACCTGGCACACTCTCCAGCTGCAGAGAAGACCTGGACTGCCTTTTTGAAAAGGTGAGTATGCCAGTAAATGTTAGTGCTCCTAGGTAATAGCAGTGGAGAGCATGTTATTGGGGCATCATTACAGTCACTGGTTCAGAGCTACTGAATGCCTATCTGCAGAGATAGGGCGGCTGGAAGGGAAAGCTCATCCTTTGCCCCGTTTCATTCTCTGCATCAGGAACCTTCCTAGCGCTGCTGCACCACCAGCAATCCTGTTTACTGCGCTGCTAGTGTCATGTGGGGCCTCCTGGCTCCAGCCTTCCAGTTTCTTTCTGACAACAAAAGAGCAGAAAAAACAAAGGGTTTTCAGGTCTCCTGTCCTGAGTAAGGGAAAAGGGGAGACATGGCTGTTGTCCCTCTGTATGTTTGGATTGCTCAGATTGAAACGTTTATCTGCAACCTAAACCGGAAGTGCCCTGGGGTGAAAACAGTACCTTCACCGCTGCCTACCCTACAGGAAAAGGGACTCTTTGGGAACCAAACAAATTGGTCACAGAGGTCTCACACTGTTCCTTTGTCTTGAGGTGGAAATGAGCTAGTAGCAGCCCATTCCTGATGAAAACTCTGCTTAGCTTGGCTTTAATGCCTAGATAGAAATTGCTCCATAATAAAAATGCCTGTCCACCAAAGCCTGTTCCTGGATAAACGTAATTCATCTTGTTCCTAGCTCTGTCTGTACCACTGCTTGCCATAGCCCTCAGGAAAGGGGAAAGGAATTGGGTAGAAGGACTTGTCTGGCACAGTGTATGAGCTCTGTTTCTATGGAGGAATTCCCGCAAGGCTGTATGCAGCAGTCCTTTGAGCATTTGCACAGTTCAGAGGCTTGTTCTTGGCAAAATTACTAAAATAATTGCTCACAAGGAGCCTCAGGAGGCAGTCGAGCAATGTACAGAAGCGATGCCCTGGGCATTTGGAGGGTGGAAGTATCGGAGAGTAGTATAGAGGGAAGAAAATCTCTGTGGCTTACCTGCCTTAGGGAAAGATCTCTGAACTAGAGAAGAAAAATTATTACTGTAGTGTTTAGAAGCTTTAATTGTGGATCAGGACTGTGCTAGTGTTGTGCAAACAACAAAAAGACAAACTTTTCACGTTGCCACATCCACACGTCTGAAAGAAGATTTTTAGCTTGTTGCATTGGTCAGAAGGGGGGAAAAGTGCAGTCTGGGATGTGTGACTGACAGGAGCAGGGTGAGATCAACAACATGCTTAAGAGTCTAAAGAAGACAATGGAGCTTTAAGAAGGCCTGGTGTGTTGCTAAGTCACAAATTAGTGCAGCTCTTTGCCCTGTGGAAAAGGGAGATATACTTTGCCAATTAGCCTCCACATCTTTCTCTTCCCTCACCGTCCTTGGGGGGCCCTCTGCACCTCACCTAGCTTGAGTGCTCCAGCATCAGCCACTGCCATAAGCCCTGTGGAGCTGCAGGATTCAGGGGATGAAACTGTCTCATGGCCTGAAAATTAAAATTAAAAGGCTACAACAGCCCTACAGAGATGAGACCTTCTCCATCTGTACAAACTTCTCACTGCCACGTGAGTGACAGTGACCCAGTATCACTTGTTTTCTGCTGTGGCTGTGTTTCTGTTGTTTGTCTGGATTTTTGAACCTAATTAAAGGTGGAAACGGCTCTGGCATGGAGTTCAGGACCAGTGAAGCAGTCATGGGCCATTCCAACACCTTTTTGTAACTAACGACCAAGAGCCGGTTTTGCATAACTTAATAGGGAGCTGATAGCAGATGTAGTCCAAAAAACTGTGTTGGTCCTGAGTGAAAGAAGGTAGTTGTAGGAAGGAGGGAAGTAGCGTGTGGTGTGGTTTGTTTGTTTGTTTGTTTGGTTTAACACCACTAGTAAGAGGGGGTGTAGCTCTGCAGAAATCTCATTTGCATGGTTCAGCTTGTCCAGCCAACGTTGCTGGTTGCAGTGATGTCTGTGATGCCGTTGTCTGTTATGCCGTTGTTTGTAATCTGGTGGAGGTGAGAAGTAGGTAGAGATGTGGTTGCTCTCTGCCAGCTTCTTCAGAGAGCTTGCCTTCGCAAGAACTGCAGCAAGGTCTCAAGTAGCTCTTAACTGCTAGAGCTGAAGGTGGAAGCAAGAGAGAATAAATATTCCTCTGCCCTGCAAATCTGATTTGCTGAATATCCTGCTCTTCACAGAGGTAGCAGTAATATCGGAGAGAGACCTAGTTTTGACCCACATACTTCCAACGACTCTAGTTATATTGCTTGTCCTGTACAGGCTGTACCAGCCCTCCTGAATTACATGGTGGTTCCTGCTATGTTAAGCTGTCTGCAAGGTATCCCTGGCATCTCTTTACCTTGCTGTAAAAGAGCCTCCAGACTTCAGCATGTATAATAATCATCTATTCACTTTTCCTGGCAAACTTAACATTTTCCCTGGTCTCAAGCTCTTGGCAGCTCACAATACATACGATGTTTCAGGAATAACTAGGCATGAGGAGGTGGAGGGGCAATCTATTTGCTCTTCTTGGGCTTAGGGTGACAGCAGCAGCTGTTCTTCAGCCCCTGTGTGCAGTACTAAGTACCTTCCATAAGTCTGTGTGCAGATTCAATTTGATCTGCTGACTGACATGGGCTCATGGAACGTATGAAGTCCAGAAAAAGCTCAGCTGAAAAGGGTCCTCCTCATTCTTTGACCTTTTTCCTTCTACCAGGACAGATTTTTCTGGACTTCTGTAAAGTCTGTACAACTGCTATGGTAATATGTATTTTACTGCGTGCTACTCAGGTCATGGAGTTTAACCTGTAGAAACTGTATACTTTTTTAATTCTCCCACACTGCTACTATGTTGATGATTCCCACCTAGCCTTAAGCTGTAGGATGCTTTGACACATAATGTTGTGGATGATGAAAACTCATGTGGGTTCAAAGGGAGACTGGAGAAGTTAATGGAAGAGAAATCTATTGAGTGTTACTAAATTCATAGATGCCACATCAGCTCGGGAAGTCCCTGTCAACAAATAGTTAGAGGCTTGGAGAGTGTGCAAGGAGGCACCGTGTATGCTTACTCTGTTCTCAAAGCTAGGGAAGATGCTGCTTTGGGGCACTGTCTGCAAAGGATACTGGGCTATAAGGACTCTTGGTCTAATTCAGCACAGCTGTAAAGTTTCAGAGCCCACAGACCTTGATGGTAAATCTAGTTATTTGGATTTGTAATTCCTGAGAAAATAAGTATATTTCCTGGCTCAAATTTAATGTGGAAACTGCAGAAAGAACAGATTTGGGTTCTGTCTCTCTTTTTTTTTTAATTGACTGTCCCTCAAAGGAACAACTACGCTCTGACACACAAGTCTTCTGTGTTTACCCCCAAACTTTAGTACTACGTAGTCAGCCTGAATTGGAAACCAGAGACAGAAGGCATGTTTGTGATTCATTGCTTCCTGATAAAGAACTGTATGGGGGGAGGGGGAGAAAGTGATACAGGCTTCATGGGTCATATCTTATTGATCTGTATCTTCATGAGGAGAGAGGGAAAAAAAAGGCCTGGCATGCAGATTCTAACTATATTTTTAAGTAACTTTTTGGGGTGGGGAAGGAGGTGTTAATCTCAGTAATTTCAGGAATGTATAGTATGGTTTTACTGGGGGACCACTGGTAAGTTGTGAAGGTTTATGATGAGCTGTAACTTTTTAACCAAGTGACCTGAATCTCATAAAAGTTTGCAATTCTTCCCCCTGGCAAAGGTCACTAGACTGTCTGCAATAACCCACTCCCCATTCCTTTCCTTCCTCCTCTTTTCCCACCTCAGCTCCAGAACAGTCTTAATATCTGACTAAAAATCCCTTTTCCTCCTGGGTTTTACAGTTTCTGTTCTCTCAGTTGCCCTAACCTTCCAGCCTCAGCCAGGTGGATATATCTGCCTGAGCACTGAGCAGAAGGGCTTTTGGGGAGTTGGGGGGAGAGGTGATTTTTAAATACACTTTTGACAGTTGAAGTAAATCTTCAGGGAAGTGAATGTAAGGTAAACATACCTCTTTCCACCTTCGCTTCCCTTAGCCCCTCCAAGCCTTTTACTTCCTTTTCCCCTGCGGAGAGTTGGTGACAGCTACCAATGACATAATGGCAAAATAAAGATTTCTGACCAAGTATCTCTGACAAGGTGATGGATGTGGCTCACGGACCCAAGGGACAAAAAAGTTCCAGGGAGTCACAACCCACCAAGCGGTGCTGGGTGTGCTGGTGCTAAAAGGACTCCACAGAGTCCTTGGCTACAACAAGACCATGCATGTCTCTTGTTTTTAATGCAGTTACCTAATCATTTGCCTGATATATAAATCCTTGTCACCTTTAACAAAAAGGGACCAGAGAAAGTATGTCTTTCCCATCTTCCCCCAAAGTCAGCTAGGTCTGAAAGTGAGGGCAGCAGTGCATGGAGGCAGTGGGGTCTGCTAGACGAGACCCTGTTCAGTGAGGGGGGACCAGGCCCCATGTACTGTGCCTGGGGAACGTGCCTAATTTAGACCTTTCTGACTGTGAGCTGTTCCCTCTGCTCAGCTGTTGTGACGCTACCTTTCCCGCACAGTGCCGTCATGCCGCCCCAGTGTTTCTATTTTAACTCTCTCTGGGGCTAGATCTTGTGACACAAGGATTTGGCATCTCTCCTGCGTGCTGGAACGTGGCATCTCGGGAGGCACACTGGCTGCAGCTGCTATATCAGAGGGTGCCCCTCCTAGTAGCTGGCAGATGGGGACACCCTTATTCCTTCCCTGGCACTGCGACGTGCCAGAACGGGCAGCATCCCTGCAGAGAAGTGGCAGTGTCTAACTGTGCTTGTCTGTTTCTCCTCCAGTCCATTCTGAAGTGTCTGAAGAGCTCAGAAATAGGGGAGCAGCGGGCAGCTGGCAAGCGTGTTCTCCTTCAGCTTTCAGGTATGTAGTTACTGGGGACAAGGGTTAAGTTGCTTGCCTTGGAGGCACATAAAGTAACTTTGCAGCCTGCTGATGGATGGGGGCTGGAAATGAGGACGGCTGGTGGAATGGGTGGAGGTGTTCTTCAGGTTTTAAGGTTTGTGCACCGGTGTGTCACATCTCATTTAACAACTCACTTCTATGCTTGTGGAATTCAGCACTTACAGCCCTCTGGAGAAACCCAGAGGAACAGCATTAATGTACTTACACTCTCCATGTGGAGACTGGGCAAGTGGAGCCAAGCAGTCTCCAGAAGAAACAGAGGAAACTCCTGCAGTCTGTTGGGCACCCCTGCAGCGTTGGGGCACTTTGTGCTGTGGCTCATGCTATAGCAGACATGCTGAGAAGGATTTGCAGGAGGTGGGAGATATGGCCTCTTGGAATTGATCTTCATCCCTCTGCTGTGTGTGCTCTGGGGGCTGGCAGAATGAGCAGATACCTTTCTAGGGTGTGAGGGAAGCTTTTTATAACCAGGAATGTGCAAGGGGAGAAGTAGCAGTGAAGGACATCTATGCTGCATTAACCCAGGCTTGCCTAGGATGGAGTGAGTCTGTGTGTAACACTGGGCTTTTCTCTTATTCCCTCTCTGCTTCCTGCACAATCACAGAAACATCCTTGAACCTCTCCCAAGGGAATTCCTAGTGTCGCACCATGCTGGGAACAAAACGGCAGCCCAAACTTGTATAAGGGAACAGGCAGAAATTCTGAGACAGTGGCAGGTCACCTCTCACCTTCTCGCCTAGATCTTGAGCCTAATGCTGTGATAGACTTGAGTGTAATGGAAACACCAGCTCTACAAAGATGTTCCTAAGGAAGTGGTGCTGCTGTGAAACCGGCATGCATGCTGCAGGGCCATTTGGCTGGGTATGTCTCAGCGTGTTTTCTGTAGTTCCTGTTCAAGCCCAGCTCAGCTGGTGGGCAGTTTATAGGGCTCCTCCCTATTCAGGACATGCCTGCCTGTTGACTGCTCAGCCTTGTTTTCTCCAATCAGTTAGTGTAATCCCTTAATCCTGACTCATATTGGAAAGCTGGAGTTGTCTCTGTTGACAGAAGACTTATTTTTAAGTGTTTCAAGGCACATTTCAAGTAGCTTTTGCTACTTCAGTTTTTGTTGTAGCTTTTACTACTCTCCTTGGTTAAGAAAGGAATCTCTGCAGAGGTGTGTGGTGCTGCTGAACAGTGTTGGATTCACCAACATCTCTAAGATCTGTACAGCTGAGGCTTGGCAAGGTTGTCTTCTACAATGTCCTTGCCAAAAGTGCTTTAGGTCTGCCAAGGAGGCCATCCTTCTGCAGGGACGGAGGAGGGAGGTTCAGTCCTGAGCATCTCTGCTGGATCTAGCCATTTAGTGCTGGAGGCGCAGTGATGCGAATACTTGCCTGTGGGACAGTAAGTTGGGCTTCTCCAGCTGTAAAACCAGTGGAGGACTGTCCTTTCTGTAAAGGCTCAGCCAGTGCTAAAAACCGCTTTTCTCTCTTCTCAGCTTAACTGAAATCTGCAAAAATTCTCTGCTGCAAGAAAAGAGGGGCAATGTCATCAGAAGATGATGCTGGCGGGGAGGCTCCTGGGGGCAGTTTCTGGGAGGTAAGGAAAGATGATTAGGGTTTGAGGGAGGTAAGAATGTCTTCCCTCCTCCCACCCACAGAATTAGGGGGTTGAGTTTCAAGTTCCTGGGTGACGTGTTGCCCTTGGAGTGTAAGGGAGGGAGGAACTGTGAGGAGGTTCAGTAACAAGTCCTATGTTGCTGCAAGGAGGAGGGTTACCCTTTCCTCCCCAGACACTGTGGAACAAGAGTTCCTTGTTCAGCTGATACTGATCTGAGCTGTGAGAGGCAACCAGAACATCTCGGCTCCCTCCTTCCACTGCTCTGCCCCCAGTAAGAGCGCACCAGAAGGGGGATCTGAGCCCAGCTGCTGGTTTCAGGAGGGCCTGTGCTCCCTCACTGCACAATGACTGACCTGCTGCTGCCTGTTCTGAAGGGATGTGAAAGTCAGTACAGTAGGAGTGATGGAATTGTGTCACATTTCAGGCTGGAAACTACAGGCGGACAGTGAAGCGTGTGGATGATGGGTACCGGCTCTGCAACGACTTAATCTCCTGCTTCCAGGAGCGAGCCAAGATCGAGAAGAACTATGCCCAGCAGCTAACAGAGTGGTCCCGCAAATGGAGGACCAACGTGGAGAAGGGTAAGGTGTGCAGGCTGAAGTGGGAAGAGGCTGCAGTAGTGGCACTCTGTTTCTTGAGTGCTGTGTCTCACTGTGGGGGAGGCTGTCTCTTTGGGAGACAAGCTTCTCTTCTCCAAGGAAATGACTTTCTTGTGCATCTCCCCTTTCTTTGCTCAAGCTGTTCTGGCTGCTTTCTTTTTCTAGCAGCCAGTCTTCTGCTTCCCTTTGAGAGGTGTTCCTTCTCTGCATTGACAGTGTTTGGTTACAAAAAATACCCCCTATTCATTTAGTTTGGCAAGACCTTGGGCCAGTCGAAGTCTTGAATCAAACTGCAGCTCTCCCCTTTTAAGGATGGCTTGGCTGTTTCCCCTCCCTCTCCTCCAATCAAAGAATAACTACTTATGTTGTGATTCAGTGGCACTGGGCTCATAAACTGACGGTGTCTCACAAAATAATGGGGAAAAATGGGTCAAATGCTCTGAAGAGCCCACTAGTCTGTGAAGCCGAAACTCATGTCGTGAGCTGGTATTGATGCCTGAGCTCAGGCCACATCTGTAAGGAGAATTTTCTGCAGAAATTTTCTGCTGCTGGGTACTGCCTGGGGCAGCTAAGGCTGCCCGAAAGGAGTGCCTGTCTCAGCCAGCTGTAACAGCCAGTCTAGATGGTGCCTGCTGGGACTGTGTGGAGGACACTCAATGCTGACTTGTGTGATGGAGGAGAGTTGGACAAGTGACTCCAAACTGACAGATATTTGTAGGAGGAAAAGAACTGATGTTCTTCTCTGTGGGCAGGAGGTAAAATAGCCCCCGTGATGCCTGTTCCTGCAGGTCCGCAGTATGGCACTCTGGAGAAGGCCTGGCATGCCTTCCTGACAGCTGCAGACAAGCTGAGCGAAATTCACTTACATGTCCGGAACCACCTGGCTGGTGAAGACTCTGAGAAGATCAAGGCCTGGCAGAAGGAGGCCTATCACAAGCAGATGATTGGGGGCTTCAAGGAGACTAAGGAGGCAGAGGATGGGTTCCGCAAGGCCCAGAAACCCTGGGTGAAGAAGCTGAAAGATGTAAGCAAAATGTGAATGGGGAAGGAGGGATGAATAAGGGTAGCCCAGCTGGCTACCTGAGAGTGAGTGCTATTAGGCACACTGAGTGTAGCCAGCATGGCAGAGGATGCCAGAGAAGGAGAGATGTCTTGCTGGTCTCTTGTTCTTGGTGGTCTTGTAGCTACCCTCCCATGTGGGAAGACTTTGGTAACAGGCTCAGTGTTTGTGTGGCAGGTTAACACTGAATGAGTTCACTGTGGTGGGGTGTCTCTACCTTTTGGAGTATGCCTGGTTAAATATCAAATTGGCCTTTCCTATTGAGTTGTCCTTAAAGAACTTTAATACGCCCACTCTGAAGGATGGAGGATCTCTATGGCCAGGATTATGGCTTTGTCTCTGCATCGCTCCTGCCACAGGTGGAGACTTCTAAGAAAAACTATCACGCAGCCCGGAAGGAGGAAAAGACAGCCCATACAAGAGAGAACCATGCCAAGGCAGACTCCTCTGTCTCACAGGAACAGCTGCGCAAACTGCAGGAGCGTGTGGAGAAGTGCAGTCAGGAGGTTGAGAAGGTGAGTGTGTTTTGTACAGATGCAGGTCATGAGGATACCCCTCTCTCAAGGAAAGTGCTGCTTGTAATATCAGTGCAATTGCTCATGCTGAAACCTGTAAGGAGGTATGGGATCTCATTGTCTGAGGTTTTAGCAAGTTAGAATGAGGCTTCAGCAAGTAAGACTATCTTTGGTTCTGCATAGGATCTCATTTATCAGTAAATGAAAGGAGAAAAAAAGTGAGGGATTTCGTGCAGGGGGTGGGAGCTGCAGAGCTGAAGGATGGCTACTGAAAGTGGCTGGCTTGCCTGCCCACCTGAAAAGCTGTGGAAGGGCCTACTGTAGAAGGAATAGTAAGGAGGGGCGAGGAACTTCAAGACCACTAGGAGAGCAACGGGCTGGGATTCCAGTTCTGGGGAAAAAGATGTTTTCTGCTACTTCCTATGCTGTGTGTGGTCAGCAGTGCAGGGAAAAACTCCTCCAGTCCCGAGCTGGAGTGGGGGGAGGGTCACTGGTTTGACATCAGGGCTACATATCTCACCACTGCTTTCCTTCTGGATTGAACCAGTGCAAGGATCAATATGAGAAGATGCTGGAAGAGCTGAACCGCTACAATCCCCGCTACATGGAGGATATGGAGCAAGTGTTTGAGGGCTGCCAGGAAGCAGAGAACAAGCGACTGTGCTTCTTTAAGGAGATGTTCCTGAATCTGCACCAGCATCTGAACCTGTCTACCAGTGAAAGGTACCAGCTCTGACACAGGAGGTCTGTCTGCCCAGGGTGCCCTGGACTCTGGCGAGGGGTGCTAGTTCTGGAGTCTGTGAAGGGGAGTGCCTGTTCGTATCAGGCAAGTCTCATTCCTGTCCCTTCCAAGTGTGTCTGAGAACTGGCATCCTTGGTCTGACCACTGCTGGTGTCTCTGGTTTTGAACAGTGCTGATCTCCCCAGAAAGGACTCTGTCTTTCCTCTGGACCCTTAGGCTTCCAGAACTGTCTAGCACTATCTTGTGGATGTGTTTCTAACTTATTCTATGCAATGCCTCCACGCGGCTATGTCTAATCCCAGTCTGAGGACTGTGTAATTGTGCATGAAGTTATGTTCTTCCTTCGCACTTGGGTTTTGGGGATTTGCTGAGGGACTTGCTTATTTATGTTGGTTTTATCTGTTTCTGCTCATAGCTTCCATGCCTTGTATCGAGATCTCTACCAAGTCATCGTGGCTGCAGACAACCAGGAGGACCTGAAGTGGTGGCGCAACACACATGGGCCAGGCATGGCGATGAATTGGCCTCAGTTTGAGGTGATGATCACTCTAAACTGTATAACTACCATCCCTGCCACTGAGCCGCTTTATTAAAATGCGTAAGAATTGCTAGTCTTATGTTTGGAAAAAAATATATCTCTGCCCAGTGGGCTTGGTATGTTTGTCTCTTCTGAATCTTTCTTATGTTGAAAGATCCCTTGGTGTGCAAAGGGATGGGTGTAAGCCTTCCAAACTGCACCTATTCCAGCCAGCTGCAAGAGCATGGAACAGGAGTCAGTATTTAGGGCTTTGGCACAACCTCTGATCCTAAACTTTCCCACAGCCCTTCTTGTTGCACTGTGGGATTCCAGAGGAGTGAGCCTGCTCTGTCTGCAAGGCCGTCCGGCTGGTTGATTTATCAGCCACAAGTGAAGTATGACCTAGGTGTTCTTGCACTCTTCCTTCTCTATTGGTCAGGAAAAAAACTACCTAGTACTCTTGGCTCTTCATGGCTTGATTGGTGTTATTGCTTTTCCCAAGCAGGAATGGTCCCTCGAAACACAGCGGCCAATCACCAAGAAGGAGAAGAGTGGTAAGATGGCCGACGATGTGACGCTGACCAGCATTTTGCCTACGCGGGATGGTGTTGTCTCACAGACCCCTTTGCAGACAAGGCGAGGGTAAGGGCTGAAGTCTGGGATACGTTAGCTTAGGAAGAGTATAGTCCTGCCCAGACTTACAAATTAGGTAGGACTGGTAGGAGTGACCTCTTCCTTAACCTCTTCTATTTCCAGCCCTGTGGCCCTGTCCACGCCGCTCAAAAAGACGGGGTAGAAAAAGGGGATTAGGGTAGCTTTTGACTAGTAGGTACAGTCTCACAAGGTGCTTTGTTGTAAAGTTCCCTCTAGTGATGAAATCTGGCCTGGTTCAGTCTAATGCTGTGTGAGATCCTGGCAGGTGTTTTCCCAACTCCTTTCTTCATAGACTGGGGGAGGAGAGTTGGGAACTGCTAGTCCTGCCAGTGAACTCTACTGTTTACTAAATACAGGCATTACTCTTCCCTGGCATGGTGCTGAGTGCTACCTGACAAACCTGGGTATAGCTGCTTCCCTTGCCAGGGAACAAACTGGAGAATAGGGAGAGGTTGGAGAGGCTCATGTCCTACTGTGTCAGCTGCCTTCCTGCCTTAAAAGGTCAGCTCTAGCGTAAGCAAACTGGGCAGGAAAGAATGGGGTTGCAGAGATGTCTCAAGGCCACTACAGTATCCTGGTCTATTGGATTCAGGGGCCCTATTTGCCAATCTACAGGTTTTCCTATCAAGAGGAGCAGAACAGCCTCTTCTATGACAGCCTGAGGGCATCAGCCCACGTGAAGTTAGTATGGAACATCTCTTCAGGGTTTTTTGGGCTCCAGGTGCCTGTCCTTTGCTGCACTTCCCTTCTGTTCTTGCTCCTGACTTGGAAAATGGCACTCCAGCCACATCTGTTTGGGATGGGAGTTGTGGCCTTTGCTATCTTTCTTATTCTTGGCTGCAATAAGTCTTGGATGCACCTGGGCTCTCCAGTTAGAACTGGCCTGCCCTGAGTGAGATGATCTGGTGGAGTAGGATGATGCCATGAAGAGAGTGCGGATGTGTGCAAATGCTGTGAGAATGAATGGCCCTCCTAGCCTTCAGGGCTCTGACTCTGGGATGCTTTCAAATCTAGTATCTCCTGGTATCTCTCCTCCCTGTCCACTCTCACCTGGCTGTTGGCCTCTTGTACCTTGTTCTGTGGCATAGCAGTCTCTGAGGGTCAGGGTGGTGCATGATTCAGGAGAAGGTGAGTGAGAGGTGAGTCTGCTTTTTCTAACCATCATCCTATCCCCTTCCTCCTCCCATGTATACAGCGGAGGGAAGGAAGACATTTCGGAGTGGTCAGACGAGGACACTCCCAAGAAGTGCCTGGATACCAATGGGCATGAGGAGGACATAAAGGTACCAGGTGTACGGGTACGAGCGCTGTATGATTACACAGGACAGGAGGCTGATGAGCTGAGCTTTAAAGCAGGTACAGAAGCACTAATCTCTTACTAACCTCTTGCTGTCCCCACTTGAGCTGACTGAATGACTGAAACACTCCAAGATCTGGATATCCTCTTGAAAACTGAAATCTATTCTTCCCCTGGCTTGGCCCATCCCCTGTCTAGTCTGAGATGAATGATGCCCTGGGCAGTCCAATTTGCTGCAGACTGAGACAGTGACACCACATTAAAAGTGGCCACAGTGTAGAGGAAGGAGCAGGCCTAGATGGTGAAACACATCCTGCCTGCAAGGCACTTATTGGCACTGCATCGTATCTTGAGACTTTATCATCAGATGCTTCTCCCTTGTGCCACAGGGAGAAAACTATACCCCTCTTCTCTAAAGTACAAGAAAGGTGGTCTCGCTATCTCTAATGACAACCCAGAAGGTGGCCATCTTGGGGAAAAACTCCAACTGACTGGCATGCGCTACTGAAGGCAGAGTTCGACTGGCAAAGAAGTTGTGCAAACTGTTTAAAATTGGTATCTTGAAAGTGGAGATCCCAACTTCCATTTGAAGATTGAGTGAGGGAGAATGCTGAAGCAAATGTTGACTCCCCTCCTTTTTCTTTCCTCACTTAAATTCAGCTTGCATGTGCCTACCTCTCCAATGCCAAGAGGACATCTGGATCTTGAGAGGGTCTCCAATCTTGCTTGTTTTGTCTTATGTGGTGTCTCTGTGCTATACATCTCCAATATGCTTCTCTTTTTAAAAAAAAAAAAAAAAAGAAACTGAAGTCCTTTAGTAGGAGCGAGCGTGACGCCAGCATCTATGCTGCTGTGTTACCATACTAGTAAACTTCCTATCTCTAACTTGTTGCTCTAAAATATCTTACAAAATGGTTGCTCTATAACTTGACTCCTTGCTCTTTTGCCACCCAGCAGCTCTAATAGTTAAATAGAGGCATGACTGATTAGCTCTAGCCATCGCCTCTGAATCTGCTCTGACCAGCATGCACGGATAGGGCTTAAGCTAGACAGCAAACGACTTTGTCACTCAGCTGCTACCAGTGTGCGTCTGACCTGCTGATGCAGCCAGATCTCCCTCTCTGGCAGATGTATGACTTTGCACTGATGGGAAGGGGACCTTCCTGCCTTTTCTCAAAATAGAACTGGGGAGGTTGAGAGCCTTTCCTGGTCACTGTCTGAGAAATGAGCTGATTCCATGCCTTTCTGGCCAAGCCAGAGAGTCCATCATGGAATAGTCATCTTGGATCCTAACAGCTAGAGCTTAGCAACCTCTTACAAGTCCTTCCCACTTGCTGCAGAAGACATAGGTAGAACTAGATACTACTGAGAAAGAGAAATGTCCAAGAGCCTTCTGATCCCTCTGGCTTAAAAACATTTTCCTCTCTGGGGAGGAAAGCAGGGAGAAATATCGGGAGCAAAGCTTTCTGATGTTGAGCAGCAGCAGTGAAGGTCTCCAAGTTCCCTGATCTAGTGGATGGTACTGAGCATAGATACCGAAGAGGTAACTCGGGCTTTAATTAAACTGTACGGTATGATAGTTAGGGTGCTACAGGGAAAAGTGTAGCTATTCAGACATGAACTGTCTATTTATCTCTATGGTTTTTGGTTTTGAGCCCTTCTGACAAAGAAGGCCACACTACCTTTTCCAAGGCTGCTTCCTAATAACTGTTTTTACTCTTAGGTGAAGAACTAATGAAGATCAGTGAGGAAGATGAGCAGGGCTGGTGCAAGGGCCGACTACTCACTGGCCAGGTTGGACTCTATCCTGCTAACTATGTTGAAAAGGTTGGATCATGATTGCTACTGCCCTGTTAGTGTCTCACACCCATACCAGCATCTCCTGCTGAGGTCACTGGGTCACTGCTGGCCCCAATCCACCTTTGCAGTACGTGCAGCAACTTCTGGACTCTGACTGAGGGCACCTGTTCCATGTAATCAATGCTTCATTTTAAATGCCTAGACCTGTAGGGCTTTTCTAATAAATAAGCAAGGATGAGTAAAGACTTCTCTGCCTGTGAGCACTATAGGAGTGTAAGGGTGCAGAAGGAAACGGATCCTCTTGGCCCACGCTCAGTGAAAGGAGGTATGTGGCACATAAGACTTTAAAACAAACCAAGGAAATTTTCTTGGCTTCAGTGCCCGTTCATCCATAGGGTGGTGGGGTCTGCCCTGCCCCCAGCCTTCCTGTTCAAGGAACTTTGCATGTGCAGGGCAATGGGGAACCTCTAGTATTGCTGCTTCTCCCCCACTTCAATCAAGTTAACTGACAGAAATCTGTGTGGATTTGCCCAGATTTTTCAGATGTCTTCAGTGTCTTTCACCTACAGGCTTGTTGGCCCCCCTGTAATGAGTCAGCTGAGATAGTGGATTGGATTTCCCTTCCCACTACTCACAAAGTAATTTGGAAGACACCACGGAATGAAGGGTAGCATGGTTTGGGGACAGAAGAAAGATTTCCATCTTGGGTACTATGGCTACTTAAGCTAATGAGTTGCGAACAGAACTGTCTGTTAGCAGATCAGGAGTTGACACAACCTTCCCTGAGCTAGAAGAGGGCTTGATGCACAGTAAAGGCTAGTATTCACAGTGGCAGCCACATTCCAGTGTTGTTCTGCTTGGGACCCCTGAATGCATCATTAGGTGTTGGGTTTTCTGATGCTTCTAGCTAGTTAGTAGCTCTTTCTTGTCCATGTAAGGGAAACTGAACAGTCTGCACCCAGCAAAGACACTCCTCTTCCTTCTCCCCCAGGTTCCTGACTTACTCACAATAGAAGCATACTTCCTGCTTTGCAGAGCAGTGACGGGTAATGGAGCGTGGAAGGTACCTGCTGGCTGTGCAGCACTAGCTGTAGAGGGTCACCTTTCTTCTGGCCCTGAATCTCTTCAGGTGTACTCATGCCCAGTTGCTCCTAAGTGCCTTTCAAGCAGGGAAGACCTATAAAACATCAATCTGGCCCCTCATTCTGCCCTTGAAAGCCTCTGAGGCTGCTGAGACAAGGTGGGGTCCTGATCTTAGAGCTCTGAGTACTCAAACATGAGGATATGTCAAAGGTCTGAGTGATGGGCATGTTCATACAGGATGAGCTCAGGAGCTTGAAAAAATGAAAAGGAAAATACAGTATGTATGGTATAAAAACTCAGTAGGTTAAAAACTGGCTACTTACTATATCTGGTTGAAACTATTGTGTTGAGATGCACTGAGTTTGTAGTAGCTTTCTCTAGTGAAATTCTTATACTGGGTTAGCATGTGTGAGGAACTTCAGTCAGACTCAGAAAACTCAGTCAAGCCTCAGACAATGGCACCGGAGCTAACTGCTTCAGACCTTTTTTTGTATCACCCTTTTTCCAAACAGGAGTCTAAAGCCATACATGAGTATTTGAGATTAGAATGGTTGCAGACTGCAACAGCAGCTAATGAACCAAAATGGATGTTTAACAGGGGAAGACTGAAAAGGAGGGAGGGATGTGCAGATTTGAATGCTGTTTCCTTTTAGGAGATTAAAATGTACCACAAACATCTTGTTACATACCTGCCAGAGAGGGCAGGAGTTAACCTTTTACAGCACATTGGATGCATTGAAATGCAGTCTTCCATGGAAAAGATTTGAGACTGATGCTATTTAGCTGTCTTGTGAGAGTGCAGAAATGCATCAGCCACTGAAATGTCTTGCTCAAAAGCATCCCTAACAGTGCGCTCCACAAATATGTAGAGGAGTGAAAACCACAAGAACACAGCTGAAGCATTTTGTTCTGAATCAGTAATGTCGCTCCTCAGAGAAGGAGGAAGTGTTCCCAAAAGGCAGTTAATGCCAAGATCTAAGTGAAAGTTAAATATTTGGACAGATTAAAAATACCTGGAATCACTTTTGAATTTACCTATCATGCCAGGCCCAATATTTGAAGTAACATTTAAGCTTATACTATGCAATTAAAGAGATGTCAGTGTATGAGCACTTGGGGATTCATTTAAAGGTCTAGTCGCTACTTTCAGTACTATAGCCAGGCAAAGTATCAGCAGCGTTGCACCGTAATAACATGTGTTCCACTTGCTGACCCACAACTGGATGATTTGTTGCTGCTTTGTTCTAATACACATGAATGGGAAGCCAGTGTGTCTGCCAGGCTTGTGAGATAACAGGGGTAAAAACAGTCAAGGATAAAATGACCTGAGATGCATGTTGTAATGATCAGAGAAATTTACTTTTCTAGACTGGATATTTCAAACTTTAATATTAGCCTTTCATGTATAGTCAACAAAAAAAACTAGAAGGGAGATATGGAGGGCAACATGGAGGCTTGGCTTCAATTTGTCTTCTCAGAAGCACCGAGTTCTGGTTAGGCTATAATTAGGGATGAAGTTAGGTGAAGCCAGAACTTGCTATGAGGACTGAAATGCCCAGCAGATGAGACCTCTGATTCCAGTACAAACAACCTAGAATTCTAGAGGACAAAGTCTGAGCAGACTTGTTTGTCCTAGGAAAACATGACCACCTGGTCATAATGGGCTGCTTGAAGGTTTCCAGAAACAGTGACATTTAAAACATACTGCAGCTTGTGAGCAAGTCCCCTAAATGAATGTTTGCACATCAGAAATTCATCTAAGGTGTCAACAGCTGAAGTAACAGACAGGATACAACGTATCAAGAATGAAAAATTGCTCAATGGGACCGTACCTCATGGATTTTGGCATGACACAGTCCTGGCTACCCAAAAACAAATGGATAAGTAAAAGAGCCTGTATAGTGAAGAACCTGCTGTGGAACACATCTAACACTCTTATATTAGAGAAACAGCTCTGCCTGGAGGCTTAGGTTTTCACAGAAGCCGTGCCATGCTAAAAGTCTTGTTTTGCATATGAACAGAGACAGATACACACACGTGAACTAATTGCTGTTCCTGAATTCCAAAAGGCCTGCAAAGCCTCTTCTTCCCCCATTGCTTCTGTAAAAACATAAGTGTGTCTAGGCCTGATGGGGAAACAGTAAAAACATTATCTAGTCATCTTCTATTTTTTAATAAATAAAGCCACTCCTTGCAGAACAGCTGTAAATCTGTGGCTGGCAGATAATTAATTTGGTTCTGACATCTTCCTGGAAAAGAGTTCCTAAAGTATTACCCAAAGTGTGGACTTCCTGTTGACTATGAATTTTCTAGGAGAAGGAAGTTGAAGATTCTCTATGGCAGATCACTCCCACTTCCCCAAAGCAGAAGCTGAGCTTGCTCAACCCATTAATATCATTTCTGCCCCACAGGCAGAATCTGCACCTTAGAGCCTGCAGAGCCCACAAGCCAGCTGTGCTGGGATGGCAGCTGAGATCTGTGGTTGGCATATAACTGTTGGGGTGCTCCCACAGCCTTGCGTGCAGCTTGTGGCCATTGGTGCTTCAGTTTACCTTCCATCCTACTTCCCCGCCCCCTGCATCCTTGTTGTGGCTGGTTTGCTTGGCAGGAAGAGCTGAGGCAGGTGCAAGTATGTAGCAATCCTGTGCAGGCCCCGTTACAAGCTGTCCTGGACGTTCTTTGCTCCTGCCCTGTTTGCAGATCTAACGCAAGGCCACAGCTGTGGGGCACTCAGCTCTGCTACTTTGGGCATGTTCTCCCTGACTGAAGTGCAGGCTGTGCCTCACCGGAAGCTGCTTCGTTTACGTTTCTAGAGCTTCTGCAGTATGCTCATGTGCAGACTTCCCCTCTGTTTGTGAGCAAAGCTGGAAAATAGGCTTAAATGCTCCATGCGGCCAGGTGGGTGATTGCTCTTGGGTAGCTGCATAGAGCCTGGCTGCAGGGCTGCTCCACAGTGGTCCTGGTGCTGAACCTGAGCCAAAAGGCACTGTCACAAATTCCAGCGTGGCCCATGGAAGTGTGGTTGGAAAATACCTGCTAGAGCATGGCAGAGTACACTGTGTAAAACAAGCAGGAATCGGAAGGCTACGTGGCACAAAGAGTGTCTTCAGAGGGACCTTTCACATAGTGGAGAAAAAAAAATAAAGCTTTGCAACTGAGTGTTGTACCACAGTGCCACCCAGTTCCAGGCCAGAAAGGAACTGGAAAATTTGGGGGAGTAAAACTGTTTACCAAGCTACCTATGTTCTTAGAAGATCCAAAAAAAACAATATGAACATGGGAGCGTGTTTCTGGACAAGGTGAACAAATTCTTGTCGGGGGGAGAGCAAGGGGCAAGAGGGTAGACTTTACAGCTAGAAGCGATCATCTGGTTTTCTGTTGTAACGTCTTGGCTAAACAGCATGGTTCCGGTGAACCTTTTCAAACCAGATTTCAGGCCCATTCACCCCTTCAGCTGCTTTCAGCTTTTTCTGCATCACTTTTCCTGGCTCTGTCCTTCTGTTTTTCCTGCTCTAGCAAAACTGCTTGCAAAGGTTCCTGGTTCCTCAGTCTCTCAAAGCGGTTTACAGCTGAGCTTGAGACTTTATTTCTCCACTAGCGGTGCAGTGGCTGGCACCTCTTACGCCTTACCATGGGGGCCCATAGCCCTTCCTCTTCAGTCTCGGCACCTTCACTAGGTCCAGCTACTTATAGTTTCTGCCATCCCCTCCTCCTCCATTTGGTGTTTCCTTTGTATTCCACTAGCTTGGAATTCTTCTTGCAGGTCCTGAACTTGCACTTCCCTTCCCAAGTCCCTATTGTTCCTGCTTTCAGCAGCAAGCTGGCACCAAAATAATCACTGCCTCCAGCTGCGATCACACTGGCCCTTTCTCTCAACTTTTTCTCCAGGCTCCCCCGCACAAGTTCTGTCCAACCAGCTCCTAAAGAATCCACAGTCCTATCTATGTTCATCTCACTAGTGGCCCTGCACTGCCAGTACCCATTGTGGCCACCTGCAGAGCTGAAGCACTACTACCTATTCACTCTACTCTCGAATCCTTCATGTGGTGCCTGCACTCTATGATAAATGTACATTTTCAAGAGTTTCACTCAGTCAATGGATTTCTCATCTTTCCTTGCTTACCTTGTCCTTCCTTTAGCGCTGTCTGTCCTGCTTTCAAGGGTCACTGTCTTCTGCTTTAGGCATGTTTCTTACTCTTCTTGGGGGAGCTGCAGCAACTAGTCCCTAGAATAGAGGGGTTCAGTTCAGAAAACTCCTGACAGTGAGGATCTGCAGGAAACATAAAAATTACATGTCCACTGGAAAACTTGGAGGAGCCTTATTTGATAGGAGGAGATCCCTGCTGGCTCTGACCTCAAGCAAGTTAGTGCCTGTGCCTGGGAAGGAGGCAGTGCCCAGGGACTCAAGAAGCTCCAGAACAGCCCTATGGATCTGGTCTGGAAAAGGAGATATTTCCCTCACTATAGTATCGCCATCTTCCTCTTTTCCACTTCTCCTTTTTCCCCACACAGGTCACTTGATTTTTAGCTTATTTAATTCCAAATTTAAAATGCTTCAGTAAAGAGAAGTTCAAAACCACAGAAAGCACCAAATCTCTATATACTCCCACGTGGTCTGTCCCAGGCAGGCTGGCAGCTGAGCCAACCCTGACACCCAAGACCAACATGAACTATAATTCTCAAAGGTAGTACCTTTTCTTCAGGGAGTTTGACCTCCTCCTTGACAACATTTGTGAAGAAAACAAGCTCCTTTGCTGGCTGCTGGTTTGGCCTCTTGAGCTATCTGAGAGGATGGTGTCCTCCGGACCTTTGGTGGGAGAGTCAGCACTGCTGCCATTTCCATTTCTACCTACCGTGTTAGCTAGGATGGCAGTGATGCCTGCTGGTGAATTAGCCTTGCTGGCCTCAGCTGCTGCTGTCCACAGCTTTCAAGGAGCTAAGGGGGTTCTTCCTCCCTGGATGACTTCTGTGTGGGAGAAAACTAGGTCATTCCCAGTACAGTAAGTCCAGGATGAATAAATACATGATCATACATGGAACGGTGCATCTTTGGGTGAGCAGGTAGGTACAGAAGCAACCCCTCCTGTGGCAGCCAAAATAATTGGCTGAGGCAGGAGGAGAGCCCCAGCTCTGTCGGCCTTCCTGCTCTTCTCCCCTGAGCCTAGAGCTACCCTTGCCATCCCAGCCCAGCTGAGCTGGCTGCACTCAGGGGACGAGGCAGCTCCAAGCCATGAGACCTGTCAGAGGAGCAAGGCTGCAGCTCAGCCACCATGACAGAGCAGCATGGGAGACGAGCAGCGCTTTCGTTCTGCTTTCCCAGCTTCCTTCAGCACTGCCCCTTACTGGTGGAAAAAGGATTTTGTTCATGCTGAGACAGCTCAGTGCCTGCTCACCGCCCAGTCTCTCCACCTTGCTTCCGTGTGGTATGATGACTACTACTTGAAGGCCATTTCACATCTTTCTTGTTACTCGTAGTGACTGTCACCTGCTGAAACAGCCTGCTTCCAGCAGGGACACCTGTAACACCACCCATCTCCAAGCTGACCATTACAGCAGGGTATAAAACTTGCTGCCAGCTCACCCTGGGGGATGAGGTGCCCCCAAAGCTTCCTGAGTCCCCAGCACCTGCTAGGCCTGAGGTGACGTTACCAGACAATGTTTGAAGATAAACATTTGATTATAATATTGGAAGCTATTACAAAAGAAAAGCATAAAGACATATATGTATACACAAGCACGTACACTCACCTAAGAATTAGATTCTTTCTCAGCTGCTTTAGCAGCTCAGTGAACACAGTCCCACCAACTCCTGAGCTGTTTTTCCCCTCTCTAGCGCTCAAGAAAATTGCAAGGACTCAGCAGGCAGGGAATGGCTTTATGTCTTGTCCTGGTCTCCCTCGGGATTGGAGATGCTGCAGGCAGTGAGGAGCAGCACGCTCATTCCCTGGCCCCACTCTCGAGTAACCCAGCAGGCTTTGCCTGGCAGCCCAGCAACATTGGCTGAGACAACTGAAAGGGACAGTCCTCTCTTCTCCTCACCACACTTTTCTGCCCCTTCCCTTGCTTGCGTTAGTGACTGCACAGGCAGGGGGAGATGGCCTCAGCGATCAGTGACAGCATTACAGTGGGGCTAAGGACGTGACAGCCTGCAGCTGCCCGGTTGCCAGAGCAGGTGCAAGGGACAGCATGTGCAGCTGGGGACGACAGGACCTGCCTTTTGGCTACTGCACAACCTTTAATTGGCTCAAGTCAACCAGGACCGCTCCTCAGTATCTCTCGAATTACCCATCCGTTGTGTTCCTTAATTTGTGCGTTCCTTCTACCTTTGCTGGCCTTTCTCCAAGTCACATTTACAAGACTGCAGTAAAATTGCGTACATTGTAAACCTTATCAAAATAGTCACTGGCCACACAGTGTATTAGCTGTTTATCTTAGACCTTGCTGGAAGCATTGCGTGGAGTCTGAGCGTGGCATGACTGCCTTGGTGTTACACTTCTTCCTTGGGGTGCAGCTACCCATTACACAAGATCTGACACACCAGCAGGCTGGTCCCCCGCAACCCTCAGCCAGCTACTTCCCTTGCCCGAAACCTAGTGAATATACGGCCTTACAGGAATGCAGAGCAGCTTGTTGAGCTGACAAAAAAAAACTAATGCAGTTAGAGGAAAACAGTTTTCTCTATGATACCTGAAATCATAGGAAATCTGCAACATTTTCTTATACACTTCTTATACATAGACAGTGAAAGCAGCCTGCCTGCTGAGAGCCCATCCCTTGCTCTACTGAGGGGGAAGAACATTTTCTAACTGATTCTCCTCCCCTCTGTCTGTGTTGCTCCTTCCTCCTCTGGAAACAGCCAGGCTGTCCCACAGTCCTGGGCAAACTCTCCCAGCGTTACTGACTATGCCCAGGGGATAACATGGGGGGAGGGTTAGCTAATGTCTGTAAACTGCACCTTCTCTCCCCCTCAGCTCAGATACACAAATGCAGGGCAGGTTTTACCCTCACCACAGCACTGCACTCCTGAGGCTCTCCAGCTGTTGTCTGGCTGCTCCCCTCCCCTGCTTCCTGCACAAGGCCCTCAGGTTTCCTCTTTGCCAATTGTCCTTCCACAGTAACCTCACACCCTCAGACAACGCAACTTCTATACTGAAAAAGTGTCCCCAGTGGTATAGCAGATGCCCAGAACAAGCCTGGTCACCTTCACTGGCCTTCCTTCATGTCCTGGATGATGTTGGGGACTATCACATCCTGACAGAGGTGGGTAACAAACAACAAGGAGATCTCTGTTTAGGAGGCTTGAGCTGGCTCAGGATCTGCTGTCTCAGCAGTCAGGAGGAAGGAGGCAGCTGTCAGATGTGAGGCAGATTGACATGGAGGCCAGGGGCCAAAGAGCAGGCTACCAGCTTGGAGCTCAGAAACTCAGCAGCAAAGCACATGAGATGCAAAAGAAACAGATGCAGGAAATGGCAAGAACTGTACAGCGACAGCACTGGCTCGCAGGGAACAGTCAGCAGCAGGAGGTCTTTCCTGTACTGACAAAGGCAACAAAAAGAGGCTGACTGTTCCTCATACCAGCAGCATGCTCTTCCTGCTGCTTTTATTGAATACTGAAGGACAGGATCAGCAGCTTTGCCAGGACTTGGAGCAAACAGCATGGGCTAGAAAGCCTGCAAAGGATCCAGCTGAGGTAGAGAGGCTTGAGTAACCCTGCTGTATGCAAGCACTTCTTCCTAGGACACCGCGAGGTGAGCATCAACTGTTTGCCCCCACAGAGGACAGGAGCCTGCACTAACACCTCCTGGTGTCTTCTGGCACAGATACACAGAGACAAAGCATGGCACTGAACTCAGTGATCTCTGAGGCTGCCTTGGCTCCTTCTGGGCATGCATTGTTTCCTTCTCACAAGCTGTTTGGCAGCAATGTCAGCACAGAGCCTGGTTGCTCCTAATCACTGTGCAGCATCTCCATCACACACTCGGCATGGACCTGGTCAGAATAAATCCAGCAGAGCACAGGGCCACCACCAGGCCACAGCACAACAGATAGTGCCAAGGCAGGAGCAAGCAATTTAGGGTGAGACTGCTTAAGCCAGCATGAGCAGTACCACTCCCAATGCACATTCACCACCAGAACCAGCTCCTCTCCATTGCAAGAGGCAGCTTAGGCAGCCTCCACCCTGCTGCTACGCACTCCCTCTCTGTCCCTCCATCTGGCTTTGGCTCCGCTGGTGGGACTGCTAGGACAGCTGTCCCATGGATGGGATCAGGGAACTTGGTTAAAAATAGCCAGGAGAAAAAGCTACCAGTAACTACTACCTGAGCTGATTCCCCAAAACAGTTTCTGTATAGTCCCAGGGACAGGCCTACAGGAACAACTGTGGAGGCAGCGTAAGAGCAACAGACACCAGGGTCTACTTAAGGCCGGTCTGCTGCCAAGAATGCCCCCTGCTAGACTGGATCAGACCCAGAACTTCATTGCCCAGTTCAGAAACTTGTCTCCGAGTAGCTGCAACCAGATGCGTTAGCCAGAAGGCTCTCATCTTCCTACTGCAGGGCAATCTGCCTCCCACATCAAGTCTTAGAGCTTCACTGATTCCCAGAATACACCATGTAATACCCCTGCTCAACCAGCTTTTGGGGGGTTTCTTTTTGTCCAACAACTCCCATTGTGCCTGACCGCATCTACACATCCCAAGACTTCATGACTCTTGCTGTGATCACGGGTCCTGCGTTCCCCGGGCAGTGAACGCCCAGGGTGTGCCTTACGCATCTGTGGAAAAGCCTTTTCCTTCGCTAGTTTCCACTTTCCAGCTCACTGAAAGCTGTCTCGCCCAGGCATTAGAGCATTTCGCTGCTTCTTTCTGCGAACAGCTGGTGCTACGGAGTTGCCTCCTTCGGGCTCTGCCCTCCGCACCCCCGGGGCGCCTGGGGAGGCCGGGCCGGCCCGGGCCGGACCCCGATCCCC